GCGCTAGAGGAATTAGAAATGTGTTTTTTGCAGGGCCCCAGCATAGCATTCCTGTAGTTGATAATCCAGTTGATCACTTCTAATCCTATTGTTGGCAGCTCACACTCAAAACTACCCGAGTAAGCATGTGTCTAGAGTGTGGTAAGCACAATATTGTAGAAGTGCTGATATAAGTGTCCTGCAGAGCTTGTAAAGATCTGAAATAGATACTGAGCTTCCCCTGGTCGTCGATGTGACCTTTTCAAGATAGCTGAAGAAATACACGTGTCTCAGTCGGTTTAGCCTGGCCACTGCTGGAGGTTTTGTTGCTCATGACAACAACTTGGCTTAGACAAAGTGCTCTGGCGTTCGTCCACGCTAACGCTCATGTTCTGACCTGAATCCAGAAGGCCCATTCTCTCCTTCTCCTATCCCTAGGCCCATCATCCCTTCTCCTCCTCTGTTTCCAGGTTGGCATGGAACTTGCCCCCCATTCTGAGGGAATATTTTGCTCAGGCTATGACCCAGATTTTTGTATGTCTTGGCAGCTACCTGAGCTGCGAGCCATGCTGGTTTAAGTCGTTACAATTGAAAATGTACCTGAAAAAAGGTGTGGAGAGGCTCCTGTCAGACTGAACTGCTGTTGCTGAGTGTTTTTGCTGAATGAACATTTTTTTCTCACTGTTTCTTTCTTATGTCTTTGTGCAGGATTTAAATAAGTGCTTTAAGTGTGACTCTCAGATGCCGTATGATGCCTATCATCACGACAACAGCCACAGGGTAGAGAATGTCATCTACCAGAGAGACAGCAGAGGAGAACTCACCTGGTGGCAATCTGTAAATGGTGCGTGAGGGTTGTGTTTTGAGAACGCATTAAAAGTCACATTTTTATTTTATTCTTTACGTTTACATTTACATTTATTTTGAACTTAAAGGTGGGGTAAGTGATTTCTGGTAGCCAGTGTTGATATATCAAATCACCAAAACAAACACGCCCCTACCCCAAAAGGGTCTCGCCCCTATTTTGATAGCTCCGCCCCACACATACGTACGCAAACCAGGCAACGATTAGTTCTGTGAAACAAAGCAAAACCAATGTTACACCGTGTCTACACCGGACGTGAGCGGTGCGGCGCAACAAAATACTATAGAGGTATATACTATAGAACTCATTATAATCAGTGATGCTGTCTACACCATAGATATATATACATATCTATGGTCTACACTGGATGCGGCACGACATGACAAATCCCCGACAGAAAACTGCTGCTGCGTTCTATTCATGACATATTGACACAAATTTCAAATGATTTTCAATGGTCGCTTTGTCACGTCCGGTGTACTAGACAGACTTTAGCTGTTGCGGCGCGGCGCGGCGCAACAACTGTCGTGTCCGGTGTAAACACAGTGTTACTCACCTATCGAGAAGAAACCTCGGCATCCGATCACAGGCCTTCCGCTCCTTGAGTCCGAAATTTACACGGGTCCTATTTCTTGCCTAAAAATGCATACCCCACCTTTAAGTTTTAGGATTTTGGAAACATGAGAAAATGGTCATGTTAATTTTCCAAATAAGTTTTTCACTCAGTACTTTGTAATGAAAAATGTAAAATTGTATGTATTTATTTATTTATTGTTTGTTTGTTTGTTTGAATTTAATGCATGATAAGTAAAGTTAAAATGAATGATTCTTCAAATTAATTATTATTAATACACATTAATGCTAATTAGAATTACTGCATATTCAAATTGAATGTATAACATAAGTAATTCTACTACCTAAAAGATATGAAATCATGTTGATTTTTTTTATTTAAAATAATTTGTGATGAATAATTTGTATATTTATTTATTTAGTCCGTTTTTTTTTCTAATTTAATACATGACGACAAGTGTCATAAAGATAATACATGTAAAGACAAGTGTTTTAAAAACATTTTTTCTAATAATTTTTATTAGTATTTTTATGATGTTAATTGGTCTACCCTACTGTTAATTAGTGTATATTACCGGTAGTATTTGATAAAACAAAAACTTTAACAAAGAATGAAAACATTTTCACTGGTGGTCTTAGGTTTGTGGCCCACACCAAATTATAACAAAGAAAATGTATGACATAGGAAATAATTAGTCTACCTAAAATGTATGAAATTCATAAAAATATCATTTTTATTCAGTAATTTGTTATGAAAAAAATGACTGTATTAGTTCCACTGAATACTGAAGATTGATTCCACTGAATATTGTAGATCAGTGGTTCTCAAACTTTTTACACCAAGTACCACCTCAGAAAATATTTGGCTCTCCAAGTACCACCATAATGACCAACATTAAAATACAGTAGCGTACTAGGCCTAATTATTCAGCTACAGCTATGCACAGTTCAAAAACGAGGCAGTTTTATTCCTTATAAGAATATTTATTATTGTCGGCCACTTTAAACATTGTAAAGATAGTTTGAACATTAACACTGCACTGTGCTTACATACAGGTAAATAAAAAAAACTTGAACTATTAAATTAAAATGTACTGTACCTAAAAATTAAATAAAAACTGCACTGTACTTAAAAAGTAAAAAAAAAAAAAACTGTACTGTACTTAAAGTTCCCCTGTAATGAAAATCACATTTTTTTGTTGTTTATTTGTCTATGTGGTGTTTTTAATATGCTTTTAGACAAACCATGTGCTAATCCATTAATCAACACCATTGCTGAGTAATGGTACACCTTTTTTGCTACGTCACAAAAATCAATAACCAATCATGTCAAGGGATCCTTTCATTAGCATATCATTAACTGTGCTGTAAAGCAGGGGTCTAGTGAGAAGGCAGCCAGGTTAATCCGGTATATTTTTCTATAGATGTTTCGCTAGCTGTTGATATTTTTCACTATTTTCACGATGGCATGTGCTGTTAGCGCTTATTTATTTGTATTTAGAACCGCTAACTTATAACAGTGTAAAAGTTGCCCGGAGTCAGTCCCACCTCTCCCGCATTGGCGGCCACACTTCACTCGCATATGCTTGCGGGCGCGAATTGGAATCACAAACTTGGCTGCATTCCAGTTTTCAAGGCATTTTGAGGACACAACATCGTCAAGTAAGCAACTGTAACAAATGTTACAGTATCCACTGTAGTTGTCCGCAAGTAAAAACTTAGTTCTATCAGTCATTATCCGTGGAGTGGAGGCGGGGCTACTTTGCATATTCATAGATCCGCGTATAGTAAATGAGGCAAGGGTGTAGAGTTACATTCAAGCTATTTTAAGGCATGAGAAAATGATTTTCACAATAAAAAACATTTAAATATGTAATTTTGATGACCAAAGATGAGTTTTAAGAGACAACATTTTTGACTACAGGGGGACTTTAAATGTAAAGTAAAAAATGTACAGTACTTGATCAAAAAATTAAAACAGGCGTCATTTAGCCAACTTAACATTCATTTATATTTAATTCAGTGATTCCTCTGCGTACCACTAGAATCAGTGTTGTAGATAATGACCTTCAGTTTTCTTTTGTCTGTTTGTGTGCAGGAGAGGAGAATGTCAGTATTAGACAGAATCTTGAGGCAGAGTTCCATTTTACTCATTTCATCATGAAGTTTAAAGTATGTATACAGTATAAATGGATATCCATAAGCACAGCAATATATTTCAATAATAGATAAGTATATATGTCAGTAAAAGTGAACCACCTTCCTCACTGCTAAAGAATTTAACCTTCTGTTTGCATCTCCACAGACGTTTAGGCCTGCTGCTATGATAATTGAGCGTTCTTCTGATTTTGGCCGTACATGGAGGCCATATCGCTACTTTGCCTACAACTGCACCAAGACTTTCCCCTGGATTCCTGCCCACTCGCTGCGGTTTATTGATGAGGTCATCTGTGAGGAGCGCTACTCTGACATTGAGCCGTCCACTGAAGGAGAGGTGAGTGTGTGCTGAGGCTATTTTAATAAGGATATGTTTTAATCTGTTTTTTATTGTTACTTTTGAATGTAGCATTCACCCACAGTCCCACTATATGATTGTATTAATATTATTTTTAGGTCATCTACAAAGTGCTTGATCCTGCGATCCATGTCAAAGACCCATACAGTCTTGACATTCAGGGTTAGTGAAATGTAACAAATCTTTTACCATGTAACTGTTGTGTAATATTTTTTATTCAAATATATTTCTCCTCATCTAAATGGGATTATTACTCACCCTCAGACCACCCAAGATGTGGATGAGTTTATTTCTTCATCAGAACAGATTTGGAGCAATTTAGCATTAAATTGCTCGCCAATGGAGTGAATACAGTGATCCCTCAGAATGTGAGTCCAAAACGCTGATAAAAAACATCACAATAATCAACAAGAATCCAGTCCGTCAATTAATGTCTTGTGAAGTGAAAAGCTGTGTGTTCGTATGAAAAATCCATTGTTATGGTGTTTTAACATTAAACCGACACTTCTAGCTAAAATATGATTAAATAATCCATGATAATGCTTCCTCCTGTGAAAAAGTCCTTCCCCTATTGTCCTCTGACATCAAACTTCACCGACATATTTGTTTAGAACAGTTTTGGATGGTTTTCGTGTAAACCGTGCTTGATCTGTCCATATTTCTCTCCTGACATTTTTTACCGAAAAAAAAAAACAATATTATAGATAGAAGACTTGTTTGAAGTTAACTTCTTAATGATAGATTTGTTTCTTACAAACACAGCTTTTCACTTCACAAGACATTAATTGATGGACTGAAGTCGTGGATTACTTGTGGATTATTGTGATGTTTTGCAGCCGTTTGGACTCTCATTCTGACGGCACCCATTCACTGCAGTGGATCCATTGGTGAGCAAGTTTCTCCAGATTTTTTCCAATGAAGAAACAAACTCATCTACATCTTGGATAGCCTGAGGGTAAGTAAAGTTTTAGAAAACTTACATTTTTGGGTTTACTTTTCTTTTAATGGCCAACTTGTGAGTTATTTACTTGCTAAAGCCAATTTTACTCTCATTTACTGTAGTGAGTGTTCATTTTGTGTCTACAGCACTGCATATAATGCAGCTGCCAATCACACAGTTTGTTAACAATCTTCCCTCAGATTTGTTGCGGATCACTAATCTCCGGATAAACTTCACTAAACTGCGCACTCTGGGTGATAACCTTCTTGACCGGCGTCCGGACGTGCTGCAGAAATATTACTATGCACTGTATGAGCTGGTTGTGCGCGGCAGCTGCTTCTGCTACGGTCACGCGTCAGAGTGCGCACCAGTACCCGGAGTGACCTCCAGGGATCCGGGCATGGTGGGTATCGGTCAAACTGATTTCAAATAACAGCTTGATTATTGTTTGATTGTGAATGGAGCACACTATTTAATACATCCCATCTTTTTGATCGGACAGATTCATGGACGTTGCGTGTGTAAGCACAACACTGTGGGATTAAACTGTGAGCGCTGTAGAGATTTCTACCATGATGCACCCTGGAGGCCCGCCGAGACTGATAACGCACATACATGCAGGGGTAAGATACTGTACACACGCGTGAAGAAGCTCAATACAAATACAAATGGCAAACAAGTCTTCACTTCTACAGAATGCAACTGTAACGGTCACTCCAACCAGTGTCATTTTGACATGGCGGTGTATCTGGCTACGGGGAACATCAGTGGAGGTGTGTGTGACAACTGTCTCCACAACACCATGGGCCGCAACTGTGAAACCTGTAAACATTTTTACTATCAGGATCCAACTAAAGACATCAGAGACCCGGCAGCATGTATCCGTAAGTTGTTCATTTCCAATGGAGTCTCTTTTTTGTGCGTGGTTTTCTCCTGCCTGTTGTTCATGTTTTTTTCTGTGTGTGTGTGCAGCTTGTGACTGTGACCCGGTGGGATCTGTGGAGGGAGGACTTTGTGACAGTCATACTGATCTGGATCTGGGTATGATTGGCGGTCAGTGTCGCTGTAAGCAGAACGTCAAGGGTCAGCGCTGCGACTACTGCAAAGAGGGACACTATGGACTCAGTCCTGACATCCCACTAGGATGCCAGCGTAAGAGATTGTGTGTGTTTAGTGGATGTAAAGTCAGCTCTTCTCAAGTTCATCATGAACGTGTTCCACTAACATTTGAAACTGTCCAAATTTTAAACAATTAAAAAATTTGGGGCTCTATAAAGTTCAATGCTCACCCAGGGGCCTCTGTATGTGACATTTATTGTGCTGATGTGTATGTCATTGGCAGCATGTAACTGTGACCCCCGTGGCATCACTATGATTGGGGCTCCGTGTGATCACATCAGTGGTGACTGCTCCTGTAAGAGATACGTAACCGGCCGCTACTGCGATCAGTGCCTGGTACGACTTCACTCTCTCCTTAAACAATAACCATCACAAAAATGTTTGCAGTTTTAATATTGAAAATTCAGAAAATGCCTGTATGAATGTGTTTGTGTACAGCCTGAATACTGGGGACTCAGTAATGATCTGGCTGGTTGCAGACCCTGCGATTGTGACTTTGGTGGAGCAACCAGCAACAGGTGAGTTACTGATGTCAGTAACTATGTTGCATTTAAATGTGTATTTACCCTTGATTAGCAATAAGGAAGTGTCTGGTATCTGGGTGTAGTTTTGATATGCCAAGATTAAAGTCCTGCATTCTTTTGGGATTTGACTGGGATGGGTACTGAAGTCAGGAACTCTTTAATTTGTTTAGAGAATTGACTGAACTGAATGGAAGTGCCCAACTGCAAGGTGAAAATAATGAACATTTTGAATCTATTTTCCAGATGTTTTTTTCTATGTATTTTTTTCCCCCTATAAATATTTTTTCCTTTTAAAAAATAAAAATAATGTCTAATAAATACAATTTTAACAATATATATGTTAGTAAAAATATTTTTAAAAAACAGAGGAAAAAGTTGAGGGCTTCCACAGAATATGAACTGATTTCATTATGAAAACAAATCATTAAACTCTTCATTTGAAGCATTTTGACATAGATATCTATGACAATTTTCTCTAAACTCTGTTCTCTTTCATCTTCAGATGCAGGATGGACAACGGTCAGTGTGACTGTCGGCCTCATCTGATTAGTCGGCAGTGCTCTGAAGCGCAGCCTGCATTTTTCTGTGCTTCTCTGGATTATAATAAGTATGAAGCAGAGGAAGCTATAGGTCGCTCCCCTGATGATCCTACTCTTCCAGTGAGTAATGCTCAATTGCACGGAGATCACATTTCTAAAATCCACCATCCATTTTAACTATGTATTATTCTTCCTTTTGGCAGCCTAAACTACGCAGAGTTCATGTCATATTATCAGGGTACTGCTATAAATCTTCCTGTTGTTATGAATAGGTGTCTGTTCTGCTCTTGGGGGTGATACTGGTATCATGGGTCATGGAAACAGGATCAGGCACATAGATTGAGAGATTAATATGTGCATACCTGTGAAAGAATTCCCCAATTTTATGGTTCAGCTGGTCTATAAACGCTGATGTAATGTGTAAAATGTAAAAATGTCTACTTTGAGTTTACATTCATGTGAGTTTAACCCTCAGGTACCTTCAATTCCACTGCTCTGTGTGACAAAACAATCAGAGTGGCATGCCTATCTGATACCATCATATCCTCTGAGTCACACTCAGGTTTGGTGATAGCTTTGGTTAAAAATTCAGTGGTTAAAGAAAATGAATCTTTTAAAAATATATTAATATTTTAAATACATTTTTCTTTTCACAATGGCAGTTTTTTCATTATAATTTAATGAGGTTTTTCCAGGATAGTTCACTGTACCCCCCTCAGGCAGTGCTGGTTGTGCAGGCACACTGTGGCATACACAAACAAACACACAGACGAACTACAGAATACTCCACAGCTGAAGTGACCCAGAATAAGATCAGAGAGCAGAAGAGATGCCAGCCTGTCAGAGAGAGTTATTAATGCCCACCACACATATAAACACACAACAGCACTGTCTGGTTCACACAGTCTTCACCATCATCATTCCAGTTCACACTTTCTCTGCCTGTCACCTCACTCACCTTTTTTTCAGAATGGGTGTCATGTTGTGTTCAAACGTTTGGGGTTGGTAAGAATGTTTTTAATGGTGTTGAAAAAAGACTCTTATCCTCACCAAGACTGCATTACATTGAAAATGTGCTTACTGTGTGCAGAGTATATATAATTCATAATGGAGCAGTTGTATACATAGTATACACACTGCATACTAGAAGATTAATTTGAGAGTATGGGGATATGCCATTCTGGACATAGCCATACTCTGCAATTTATGCTATACAGTATATATAAATGTAATCTCATGAATATTATATAGTTTGTGTGTCTGTGTTTTAGGGCAACCCAAGGCCTCAGGCTGAGACTGACTGTGTGCAGCATCTCAACAATCAGCTGAGAAGAAACCGTCGTCATCATCGCCGGCACATTGCCCAACAGCAGAGGGCAGCACTGAGACGCATCCGACAGTTGCAGCAAACTGTAAGTTGCAGATAACTCCACCTCCGCCTTCATCAGCCAACTATGCTACACTGCTGTATCTAGTTTAATATGAATCTGTGAATCTGTTTTCAGCCCAGTGTAAGCACAGTGCATAGAGAGAGACAACCGGGTCAGATGGTCACATGGACCGGGCCGGGCTTCGCTCGGGTTAAAGACGGCGCTGGCCTCGAGTTCACAATCAGCAACATCCCTTACGCTATGGAATATGACATTATGATCAGATATGAGTCAGAGGTGTGTGGTCTGAAACACTTGATAGATTGTTTCAAAACATGGTAGCTGGTAGGTCATCTTAGACCAGCCTACAAACAGCAACCAGCTAGTCATACTAAGTAAGTAATCACCATCTGGAACCAGCTTAGACCAGAAACCAGCTACCACGGATCAAAACACAAATAAGTTTAAACTGGTGTAAATGTCCTTAAACACTGAAAAATTGTTTTCTTCCTTAGTATTTTTTACTTAGTATTTTAGTATTTACTTAGTATTTTTGTCTCATTTTCCAATATAAACATTCTTAAATCTATACAGTTAATACAATAAAGAAGGAAAATTACATCATATAAAGTTTTGTTTTTCTGCAAAATGTATCAAAATTAAGTGAGTTTAAGCTTAAAACAAGAAAAAAATATCTGGCAGTGAGGTCAGAAAAATAATTCAAAGATTAATCTGTTTTTTTCTTACCTCATTGACAGATTTTTTTTCTTGTTTTAAGCATAAACTCACTTAATGTTGATACATTTTGAAGTTTTTTTTTTTATTTTTTTATTTTGTTTTCAGGTAAATGTATTTTGATTAAAGAAATATTTGTACTGGACAAACATACAAGGTTTTTTTCCCCTAAATTTCTAAAAACAAATTGTAGTGTATTTATTTAATAAAATATCCCAAAATCTCATCTTTGATTTAAAGTTAATGATATTATTAATCATTTTGTCTGTTCTTTTTTGTTTGTATACAGTCCACAGAGGACTGGGAGGCTCTAGTGAGCATCACGTCCCTGGATTTACCCACAAGTCTCCGCTGTGGAAACATGCTGCCCACAGAGCAGATATACACAGTCACAATGTCCCACCACAGGAGGTAATATCATTGTGTTTATGTCTGTGTGTGTCCGTGTTTACCTGACATATCAGGAATGCTTTGTTTTGGGTTGCAATTACGCATTGATATTTCTTTGTAAGCACTCCATTCATATTTAGTGTAGTGTAGACTTATGTATTATTGCGTATTATGTACAAAGTACTATTTTAAAGCTTGTTTAGCCCACCCTCACTTAATGGGAAACAGAGTTCCACGGCAGTTGTTTTGATCGTTACCCGCAAGGGGTGAGTTGTTGGGTGCCATTGCAATCTGAGAAAATGAAAGGAGACAGGGAGTCAGGTGAGTTCAGGAAGTTCAGTCTGGATATATTACCAGTCTAAGTCTTTCGATGGGAAAATAAAACCCAGCCAGGAGATAAGACTTCACAGGCATTGTCAGGCTGGTGGAGCTGCTGTCTAACTGAGGGAAACTAAATAAGGGTGGCTGTCTGGTGCTGGAAAGGGATTTGAGTCAATGAATGTTGTTAACATAGGGAAAGGAAGCAGCTGTATGTGCTCCACCCAATTAAAGCTGGTGAAATATACTGGTAGTTTGTGAATAAAAATACTAATCGTATCTCACATGGTACTTTCCTATTTCTGTGATATACACTACCATTCAAAAGTTTGGGGTCAGTAAGACATTCATTTATTTTATTAGTATTTAATTATTTTTTCCCAAAAAAATATTAAGGTTTTTATTAGAATGGTAGAGTTATTAGAATATGATCTGGAGGATCATGTGACAATGAAGACTGACGTAATGATGCTGAAAATTCAGCTTTGCCATCACAGAAATAAATTACATTTTAAAACATATTCAAATTACATTCAAATAGATAATAGTTATTTTAAATCACAAAAATATTTTACAATATTACTGTTTTTGCTGTATTTTTCTTATTAAATAATTGCAGCCTTGGTGAGCATATGTAAGAGACTTTATTTCTTTCTTTTTCGATCAAGTAAATCAGTCTTGGATAAGCATTAAAACAAATTTCTGAATGGAAGTGTGTACATCTTCAAAAAGTGTTTTTATTTCAATTGGAAAAGTTTTATAAGATTATGATCTTCTGAAATAGGTCACAGTGTTTTGTTATGCCATAACATTTCTTTGTATTATATTTTTTAAGTCCTAAAACGTTATTTAGGATGTTAATTAGACATTAAATTTAAGATTTTTATTGGATCCCATCAGATCTTTGGACCTCATTGTATATGTTTAGACATTTTTAATTGATTTGTAGAGTAAAGGGAAAGAAATATGCATGATTCGACTGTTAATGAATATTGTTAATAATGGTCTGTAACACTTGACAGGTATGTTGAAATGCCAAGGCCCTTTTGTTTTGAGCCAAACAACCAGTATGTGGTGTCCATCCGTTTCCAGCGTCATGCCGTGTCTCACCGACATCTCACTGCCTTCACCCTGATAGACTCAGTAAGGATCCTCTCTCATTTACCATTATCAGTCATTTTTACATATTATTAAAAGCTTAAAGGGATAGTTCACCCAACAAAGAAAATTGTCATTAATTACTCACCCTCATGTCGTTCCAAACCCTTCATTCATCTAACAAATAAAGATATTTTTGATGAAATCCGAGAGCTTTCTGACCCTGCATACTAGACAGCAAGGGTCCTACCATGTTCAGCCTAGAAAGATAGTAAGGACATCATTAAAATAGTCCATGTGACATCAGTGGTTCAATTGTAATGTTTTGAAGCTATGGGATTACGTTTTTGTGTGGAAAGAAAACAAAAATAACTACTTTATTCAACAATTTCTTCAATGTTTTTTTTTTTTTTTGCACACAAAAAGTATTCTCCTAGCGTCAAAACAGTCCATCAGTGGTTCAACTGTAACATTTTAACGTTGCCCATAACTAAATAATGAGTAATTAATGACAGAATTTTCATTTTTGGGTGAACTATCCCTTGTTAAAACGAGGAAAGCATGTGTTGCAATTTCCTAACCACAGTTAAAACAAGCACTGCCCCCTGCTGGTGCAATTACATAATTGTTGAGACTTCTGTTGATCTAATAATGACAAATGCTTACTCTTTCTCTCTCTCCCCACAGCTTGTACTTATACCCAGGTATGATGAGCTCCCAGGTTTCCAGGGTGATGACGCCCCAGATGAGAGTCGACGCCAGGAGATGGAATTGTACATGTGTTTGGATTCCTTCATGACCTTGCCAATGCCTGCGCTGGCCGAGCTGTGCACTACACTCATCTGCAGCATCTCTGCGATCATGTATAACGGTGCCCTGGGTGAGTCAAACAGTGATGAGGTCAAAGCTGAAGATCCCTCCACAATGTCCTGTCAGAACAACAGTCACATCACAACACATCATTTTATTTTTTATTCAGATCAATCTCATGCTATTGTTTAGATTCTTACGAATGGCTTGATAATAGTTTGAACTTTTTATTTCTGCAGCATGTCAATGTGACCCTCAGGGTTCACTGAGTGCCGAGTGTGACAAAGTCGGAGGTCAATGCCACTGTAAACCCAATGTTATTGGCCGTAAATGTGATCAGTGTGCACCGGGGACGTACGGATTTGGGCCATATGGCTGCACTGGTAAGAGTCAGAGGAGAATAAGCATTTTAATTGATATTTAAATGAATAGGGCCGTCTTTGTTTTTTTATATCGTAACTGTTTATTTTTTCACAAACGTTAGTTAAAGATTTTAATTAAATTTGACACATATCTCATTGTTCCTCACTCCCTTTTCTCTGCCTGCAACAGTATGTGACTGCCACTCTCAGGGCTCTGTAGGGCATCAGTGTGACCCCGTGACGGGCCAGTGTCTGTGCCGGCATGGGGCGACTGGCCGCCAGTGCTCTGAATGCCAGCCTGGTCAGTGGGGATTTCCAAACTGTAGACAGTGCCAGTGTAACGGCCATGCGGAGAGCTGTGACCCTGAAACAGGTGCCTGCTATGAGTGCCGAGACTACACAGCTGGACAGTTGTGTGAGAGGTGAGAGACTGCTTAATGAGGTCAATACACTGACTAAATCAATGTTGACAAATTACATTTGAGTCACTGATTAAAGTCAAAGTGATGCATGCCATGCAAAGGAGGGTGAAGCTGTCACAATCTGTATATCAAATATGAAAAATTATTAAAGTAAATTCATTAATAAATATAGATATTTCTATATTAGATACTGACTTCAAATGTTTGAATGGTAGTGTAAGATTTGTTGATTTTATTCTGCAAGGATGCATTAACTTGACCAAAAATGACAGTAAAGGCTTTTACATTTTTGCACTATTTCAGATAAATGTTTTTTATAATTTAACCATGACAAAAAATGCATCATGGTTTCCACATAAGAAATGTTTCTTGAGCAGCAAATCAGCATATTATAATGATTTCTGAAGGATCATGTGACACTGAAGACTGGAGTAATGGATGTAGAAATTTCAGCTTTGCCATAGAAATAAATTATATTTTAAAACACATTCAAATAGATAATAGTTATTTCAAACAATTATTTTAAATCAATATTTCACAATATTACTGTTTTACTGTGTTTTTCTTATGAAATAATTGCAGCCTTGGTGAGCATATATACTGTAAGAGACTTTCAAAAAAAGAGTAAAAAAAATAAAAGTAAAACAGTAAAAATGTAATCTTTTAAATACAAAAAATTAACAAAATACTGCATAAAATATTGTTTAATAAATAAGAATTAATATGTGGTATTATGCTAATATGCATGTATCCATAGGCTGCCGTGTAATAAGTGTAGTGAGACAAGACTTAAAGTAATTAATTAGAAATAAAATGAATAAGATATTATTCTCTAAAGATGTGTATCTATTATTCTGTCCTTTCTTACTTTAGGTGTGTAAACGGTTTCTATGGTAACCCAATATTGGGTTCCGGCGAGCACTGTCACCCCTGTCCATGTCCAGGACACCCTGACAGCGGACACTCCAATGGAGCTTCCTGTCACACAGACTATGCCTCCAACCAGATCCTCTGCCAGTGTGGTGAAGGATATGCAGGTAAAATAGTGTCTCAAAATCAATAGTCTATAATTCTCATTAAGTAGGTTTACTGACAGTGTCCTCTCTCAGGTCCTCGCTGTGATCGCTGCGCCCCTGGGTACTATGGGGATCCTGAGCAGCCTGGCGGGACGTGCTGGCCGTGCCAATGCAACGGGAACATTGACCCCCAGGACCCAGAGTCATGTGACCCACGAACCGGCCAATGCCTCAGGTGCCTGTATAACACAGACGGCCACTCTTGTTCTGAGTGTAAACCAGGTTATTATGGAAATGCACTCGCTCAGGACTGTAGGCGTAAGTACAGTGACTCTAAAGCTTCAAAACATAATTGCATTTACAATGAATTGGAAGTGAATTTATACATTTATGTGTAATTCTGCACTCTGTCTCGTCCTGCAGGCTGTACTTGTGTAACTGCAGGCACTGTAGATGACTACTGTACTGATGGAGTGTGTCACTGTGATAAACGGACTGGCCAATGCCCCTGCAAGCCAAACATCATTGGCCACAACTGTGACCAGTGCACCCCCAACCACTGGAACTTCGGCTCAGACTTTGGATGTGAACTCTGCGAATGTGCCCAACCAAATTCCCTCAGCACCCACTGCAACATGGTATGTCCTGTGGCATACAGTATCTTTCTTCATCATTACATCTGTATTTTATCAGGGTTAGTCTCTCAAGATTGAAACCTCAACATAAAACTTTCTATAATAATAAATACATAGGTTGAGGTAAAGTGACTATACATTACAACAGGGGTAGTCAAACCCCCAAATGTGATGAAATGTACATGGCAACTGTTTATTGTCATGCATAAACATGCAAAAACATTTAATGCTACTAAGCTTATTTATATAAATGACATGTTTCTTTTGTTATCTCCTCACGAGAACGACAGGGTAGAAGGGGAACAGACGATAAATTACAGAGACAATAAATATAAAGAATATACAATAAAGTACAAGACGATAAAAACAAAATGCAATAAAGGACAAAACAAGGAGGCATAGCAAAAATAAACAATGATAAAAGTATATGTACTTTACTTTTTTTTATTGCCAATATATATGCTACAAAAGTTCAAAAGGGTCCGAAAGATTTTTTAAATATATTAACATTTTTATTCAGCAAGGATGTATTATGTTTCAAAAGATTTCTATTTCAAATAAATGCTGTTCTTTTGAACTTTCTGTTCTTCAGATAGTCTTGAAAAGCTGGAAATATGGTCAGAGTTTCCAAAAGAATATTAAGCAGTCTTCATTATAGATAATAATAAAAGTTTCTTGAGCACCAAATCAGCATATTAGAATTATTTCTGAAGGATCCTGTCACAATGAAAACTATAGTAATGGATGCAGAAAATTCAGCTTTGACATCACAGGAATAAATTACTTTTTAAATGTATTAAAATATAAATTGTTATTTTAAATTGTAATAATATTTATTATTTTTACTGTTTTCAATCAAATAAATGCATCATTGATGAGCATAAGATACTTCTTTCAAAATATTATGACACCAAACTTTTGAATGATAGTGTTTCTTGCAAAATTAAAAAAAAAATGTAAATTAAAAAGACAAACTAGAATAGATACCTAAATATTTATTACCTTAAACAGTTGTATCAGACATTTTAGACTTACATTACGATCAAAGATGCTTCAGATGACATTTATTTTTTTATTTATAATTAATTAATCTCATTTATTTATTTATTTATTTATGTCTGAAGAGGGACATGGATTTGAAAGTTTTTCTGGCTTAATAATTTTCTTCTTCTGCCTCTGTACTTACTTGTAGTTCAGTGGCCAGTGTCATTGTCAGCCAGGTTTTGGAGGGCGACAGTGCAGTGAATGTGAGGCGTTTCACTGGGGTGATCCCAGAGTGCAGTGTGAAGGTGAGTAGTACACTTACTCCTGTTTCTTCTCTGTGTCATCTCATTATTCCTTTATCTCTCTCTGATCAGAGTGTACCTGCCACCCTCTGGGGTCCGAGATGGCTCAGTGTGACCGCGTAACAGGAGCGTGTGTGTGTAAGGAGGAGGCTTCAGGACGTCGCTGTGACGAGTGCGCCCGCAGCTTTACCGGAAACTTCCCCAAGTGCGTTCCCTGTCATCCCTGCTTCCAGCTATGGGATGATGCTGTGTGCCAAATCGGCCGAGATCTGACCCACATCAAGGATGTCATTGCCATGATCCTGGAAAAGGGTGAGGTTCCCGGAGTCAACGATAGCCGCATACGTGAACTGGAGAAGAAGCTCGAACATGTTCAAGACCTGATTCGAAATGGAGACCGAGAGGGAATCTATAACTTAATAAGCCAGGCCATTGATGACTTGAGGTAAAGCTTGCACACAGTGGGCGGCACTGTAAATGTATTTTTACTTTAGTAAAGCTTGCAGACAGGGCCTAAAAATCATTTATGTCGCTTGCATTAACAAAGGTTGCATTATCAATCTTGCAGTTCAATTTAAACTATGTATTATTTTGCAAACGCTATTTTATTATGCACCGAACATAAATTGTTAGTTGCATTGGCATTTTGCGAGTATAATTTTGGACTTTGGTTTCACGTTACATGAAGATAATTGTAATTTTTGTTTCCATTTAAATGGACATATTTTCAGAGCGGAGATAGCTTTGACTGATGGGCGTCTGATGGGCGTGAGTTGGGAGCTGAATGTGACGGCAAACCTTGACAATGCTCTGAAACGAAACCTAACTGCACTGGAGAAAGAACTGAAAGACTTGAACAATACGCTTCACCGACTGCACAGAGAGTTCGAGAACTACCATACTGCTGGATTGGCAGGTAAAGTAGTATTTTTTTTCAGTTAAAAAAATATAAGATATGACATTGTTACCTTCCACTTTCCCAGTCTAGGGTTGGGAGTAACAGGTTAACTTAAGCTTATAAAAAAAAAAGTAATGAACGAAAAATAAAACGTGGAGGAATCACTCCAGTCCTCTGCCCCAGAAATGCAAGACAACCACTTGGTTTAGGTAAACTTAGACAATTTATTTAAATCAGCAAGAAACGTGGAAGCAATAAATGTCTTCAGGAGAAGGCCTGGCCAAAACAACAAACAAAACAGCAGCTAACTTGCAGGAGGAGTACTAAATAATCTATCCAGGTAAAAGAAAATAAATCAACAACAAAAGCTTTCCTCAACTCCCTCCCTAACCAGAAACAGGGATAAACAGTGAGTACAAAATAAAATGGCACCCTCTCCCTACAGCTTCCAATTTAATCATAAAGCAAACAAACAAACAAAAATTACAATACCTTTCTAATACCTTAACAAAGAAACTAAGTTAAAGTAGTCACACTACCTGTATAGTATCAGCACAACACTGCTGGACAACAGGCATACACTATAACAATCAAAAGTTATTCCATGAAGAAATGTTCAAAGTTTGCGCCACACTCAACAGACTTAATAAACAACACCCAACACAAGTCTGGAGCACGGGAGGAGTGAACCTCACTCCACACTGACTACGTTTACATGGACATCAGTAATCTAATTATTTACCTTATTCTAAATAAGACAATATTATGATTAAGGTGTTTACATGAGTTGATTTTAGAATATTCCTTTCATGTTCCCGTTTTGCATGTTATAGTACATAGTTCGATTAATGGCACGCGTCATTACGTCACCACGCGATGCCATCCGACATCCCCTCTGGAATTTCACGTATAAACATATAGTTCGTCTTCGTTATGATGCCATATACAGTTTTGGGTGTTTCATTTTAAATTTTACGAAAGCTTCAAGTGCAGTTAATTATATGTCATGCTATACGTGCAAACAGACGACGGTGGTGTTGAAGCTATTATTAAAATCAGAGTATTGTTGTCCATGTAAACGTACTCAGTGTTTCTTCTGCTCTTTTGTGTGGTTTGCCTCTCTGCAGCACATTCTCTGACAAGCACCACCTGTGGGCAATTTGCTACTGCCAAGCAAGCAGAGAGAGAGAGAGAGAGAGAGAGAAGAAAACACATACACAGGGAAACATAACCATACCCAAAGGGGTGGGAAAAACACACTCAAAAATAAATATATACATCCCAGGGATGTAACAACATTTATTAAATTCAACATCCAAAATTAACCAAATAAAAAAATGCTCAAATACTTGATTAGTTTGTAATCTTTTAATCAAAATTCCTTGTCTAAAATGACTTTCCTTTAAGGCCAGTTCACACCATCAACGATAACTATATTGAAAACATCAACAGATGATAATGTTCTGTTTATCATAAGCTCGCGCTGCCAGTTTGTCATCTGCCGCTTTAAATACTTGAGCTTTTTTAAGTAAGGTGAATTCTGATTGGCTATTATTATATCGTTCATCAGCTGAAAAAAAGAAAAACCTTTCTAAAAGATATTTGGAATGGACTATTGTAAAATATGAACTAATAGCCAAATAACTATTTGAGTATTATTTAGCAAACAAACTTGCATTCCATTTTCATATGTAAAATCTACTTTTCACCATCCAATCAATAAAAATAAAAGTATTTTTTGTTGTGTGTCCTGTTTTCCTATGTCACATGTGACATTCGAAAAGTAAAATGGATTGCAAATGACACTCTTACAATTTCCAAGAAAAAATCAGCAGGAAAATCACCTTTTCATTCACATTCACCACATTTTTGTTAAAAACATTTAAGCTGTTAATGTCTTTTGTCGTTTTTGTTTTACAGAGCAGTTTGAAAACGTTCGCAAGTACTACCAGATTTCATTGAATTCAGAGCAGCGCTGTAATGCCTCCGTATACGGACCCCAGAGTCCTGTGGAACAGTCTGAAGACACACGTAACCGTACCGAAGCTCTGCTGAAAGAAAGAAAGGACAGCTTCATGCGTACAGTCACCGCCAATAATAAATCTTTGTCTGAACTGGACGAAAAAACTCATGAGATCGACCGAAAACTCCAGCACCTCAACAACAGGGTAGAGACTTTGGGCAAATCTTTGGCTTGAGACCTGGAAGGGAGCGTCATGAATCTTTATCAGTGACGCATTCTTGTTTTTCTTATGCTTTAAGGTATGTGGTGGCCATGGCAATGCTAGTGCTAATAGTAGCTGTCCAGATAGCCCCTGTGGAGGAGCTGGCTGCCGTGATAGCGATGGTGTGCTGAAGTGTGGAGGGAAAGGATGTAAAGGAACTGTTGGTGCCTCATTGAAGGCCCTGGACAATGCTGATGATGTTCATAAGAACCTGACCACTACCAGTAAGGAGCTACAAACCATTGCTAAAAAGGTAAACGGGTGTCTGTTTGAGCATGTGCAGTGCATGTGAGCTTTTGAAAGAGCCTGAATAATCATTGCTTTACTCTCAGCTCCGAGACATTGCTACACTCACCCAGACTGTGAAGACTCAAGCGAAGGACACTCTTGATAAAGCCCAGGGCAAGAAAGAACTCTTTGAGAACTCCAACAAGATGCTTAAAGACTTCATTCAGAAGATTAGAGATTTTTTGAATGGTAAGGGGTTGTGGTTGCGTTGTGTGAAATGCAGAGGCGTCTAGGGGATAGTTCAGCCAAAAATGAAAATTTCCTCACCCTTAAGGCCCGTTCACACCAAGAACGATAACGATATAGTTCTAAAATTCATTTTCAGTATTAAAGAATAGCAGAGTCCACACCATAACTATAATGATAAAGGCGCAGAGAAACGATATAGTTGGAATCACTTTCAAAACAAATTTTTTCCAGCTAATGAACGATAAAAACATTGACACCCAAGCAGAATCAATCCTGCTGTAACGAGCTTGAGAATTTAAAGCGGCAGACGAGTGTGCACTTAGAATAAACAGATGATATCATTCGCTATCTTATAGTTATCTTTATAGTTATCGTTCTTGGTTTGAGCGGGCCTTTATGCTGTTCGAAATTCCATACAATACCATAAATGTATACTACCTTTCATAAGTTTGGAAAATATTTTTCTCACCTAGGTTGCATTTATTTGATCAAAAATGCAGTAAAACAATAATATTGTCAAGTATTTTACAATTTAAAATGTCTCTTTTCTATTTAAATATATTTTAAAATGGCATTTATTCCTGTGATGTCAAAGCTGAATTTTCAGCAGCTGAATTTTCATTACTGCAGTCTTCAGTGTCACAGGATCCTTCAGAAATCATTCTAATATGCTGATTTGCTGCTAAAAAATAAATTTCCTATTATTATCTATGAAAACAGATGTGCTGCTTAATTATTTTAAGGAAACCGTGACACATTTTTTTAGGCTTCCTTGATGAATAGAAAGTTCAAAAGAGCAGCATTTATTTGAAATAGAAATTTTAGTTTACTGTCAAATTTTCTTTGCTGTCACTTTTGATAAATTTAAATTCACAATATGTAATTTTCGCCGCTGGAGGGCGTGTATTCAAAATAAATAATGTATCCTTACTGAATAAAAGAATTAATTTCTTAAAAAACTCTTACCGACAGTAGTGTAGTCCATAAAACCGTATGGCAACAGTAGTATGTATCCAATACTTTACTTTGTCTGAGGAACAAAAAAGAAAAAATGAAAATCATAAAAATTGTAATATTAACATAAGGGTGAATAAATGATAAATTGACATTTCTGCACGAACTGTCATTTTAACATGTTTAATTATCATAAATGCCTAATTGTCATTTTTGAAAACAATAAAAAGCCTTTTTCTTAATACTAAAACTGCTATATTCAGAGGAGGGAGCAGATCCAGAAAGCATTGAAAAAGTGGCCCAGCAGGTTTTGGCAATCTCCTTGCCAGTCAACAGGACCGTAATACTCAACATCGTCGAGCAGATCAAAGCTAACATCGCCAACCTCACCAACGTGGAGGGAGTGTTCAATCACACCTCAGAGCAACTGGCCAAAGTCAAGGATCTGCTTAAGAGAGCTCAAGATGCAAAGTAAGTGAGAGAGAACATTGCTCACTATTTTACACAGAAATCCACATTATAGTAAATTACATTGTATGTGTGTGTGGTTTTGTGTTTGCACAGGGCTCAAGCTGAAGGGGTGAGCGATAATATCAATAAAACTAAAGAAGCACTTGAAACCTCTCAGAGTGCCATAAAAAAAGCTGAGAAGGAAATGACCACAGCCCTAGAAAATCTCAAGAATGCCCAGAACATCACTACTATGGTAAGCCTTTATTATTATTATTATTATTATTATCAGTGTTGAAAACAGTTGCGCTGCTTAAATTTTTTTGTGGAAACCATCATACTTTTCTCGTGATTCTTTGTAGCATTATTGAATTGATATCGAATCATAGTCTAAGATCTGAATTAATCTGCTTCTGTCTCTTTCCTGAACAGGTTGACAACAAACTCTTAAATTTAGACAGCAACCTCATGGGTGTGATGATGCGACTGGCCAATTTGTCACATGGAGTGGATTTATTGAAAAATAAAACGGAGCAGAACAGGGAGATGGCAAAAGATGCCAAAGCTCAGTCCGACAATGCAACTCAAGAGGCTGCTGGACTGCAAGAGGTGTGTGTGTGTGTGTGTGTGTGTGTGTGTGTGTGCACGTCTAGCTATATTTTAGAGCCTCTTCCATTAACTTTTTTTTTTTTTTGTGCATGTTTGTGTTTAAAAGGAACTGGTAAATGCAGAGAATCTGTATAATGAGCTGAAAGCGAAGGTGGACTCTGTGGGAGGGACAGGAGAAGGTAACATTAGCCAGAAAGCTATAGAGATGAAGAAAGAAGCAGAGGAACTGCTGAAGAAAGCCACCACAGGCATGGAAACCCTCAGAAGTATGTCCAAATGCATTAAACATTTACTAAAGCAAAGCACTGAAATTTTATGCTCAAATGAACCTATGAGCCAAGTGTTATTTATGCTGTCATTTTTGTTATTAAACACAGTAACAAATGTGAATATTTTGAGATATTTGACTTTGTTTGGCTCTTTTCTCATCTTCTTGTTTTTCTGTGTCCCTCCTTTGAAGAATTGGAGAGAAAATTCAACAAGAACGAGCAGAAAATGCAGCAGCAGCGGGATGAATTGGCGGATCTGGAGAAAAACGTTACAGAAGTCAGAGAATATATCCGATTAAAAGTCATGGGCTACAACAACTGTCAGTAGGAACTGTAAATAACAGACAAAAGCCTGAAATCAGACTTCAATTTATGTTCTCAATCACCCTCCGTGTGATTCATATATTGATCCATTACAACCCAAATTGCTATTTCATTACAAATCAGCAGCTTCACTACTTAATTGTTATGAAGTTGATGACAAACTTCAGAGTAAAGTACTAGGTCTTATTGTCGTCCTGCTAAATCAGTGGTTCTCAACATTTTTCAGGTGTCGGAGGGCTGAAAAATGGACCATCTAATACCAGAAGTCTAATTTGATGTCCTTTTCACTGTTCCTGACTTGAGTCACCATTTTGTTCCTACATTTTTTCACCCGTTTTTTTTTTTTCTAAACTGCTGTTTTGTTCATATTTTATTGAAACTAGCAACTAGCTGACTGTTTGCTAGCTAAGAAATGGAAACAAATGCTTACATCCACTGACAGAACCGTCAGTTATGTTGTTAATTTAATGTTAACAGTCAGTTTATTAATTTGATTAATTTTAATTAACTCAATATTGGTGTTTTCTTTTATATTTGTAATGTTTTTTTTGTTTGTTTGTTTTTACAAGCCAATCAACAAAACAGACCACAATTTGAGAACCACTGTACTAAATGAACTGCAGACCAACTGTTGTGTAGCCTAGTGGCCAAAGACGCACTACTGTTCAAAGGTTTGGGGTCAGTAAGATTAAAGAAATGAACACTTTTATTCAGCAAGGATGCTTAAATTGACGAAAGTGACAGTAAAGACATTTAAAATGTCAAAAGATTTATAAGAACTATTCATCAAAGAATCCTGAAAGGCTGCTGAAAATTCACTTAATTCACACTTAATGTTCATTTAATATTAAAATAGAAAATAGTTGTTTTAAATTGTAATGTTATTTCACAATATTACTGATTTATAGATCTTTGCAGACTTAAGAAGCATGAGGCTTCTTTCAAAGACAATCAAAGAAAAATCTTACCGACCCCAAACTTTTCAAACTGTAGTTACATTTAAACTCTGAAGTGCCTAACATCATATTTTTTATATTATGTAAAAAACATATATGAACACATTAAACCTTTGATATGGAATGCAAACGTTACTGTTTTGTTTTATTTATATGCAGAAACAGCCTCAGTTTTTTGTGTATTACATCTGTAGTACAAGAGGGGGCGATAGAGAATGTAGAAAAAAGTTCCAACAGTGGGACATATTACAATGAAACGTATATCAGTCCTCATTTTTATGGTACTAATGCATATTTCTGAATTTCAGGTTTGTTTCAGCATTATATATTGCACCTTTAAAGTTGTGTCTATTGGCTTTTCTGTCTCTGCATCATCCTTCCTGTGTCTGTTAGTGTTAGGCAGGACATGTTCATTTCTGTGGAGTAATCCTGTTTTGTGTTTGGATCAGTGGCTTTAGCTGACCCTGAGCTTTGATTCATATCATACCACTGAATCACATATTTGTTTCACGTCATATGTTTGACTGTCTTCTCCCAATAGTCCTGTACATTTCATAAGAAAAATTATGTTTGATAGATCACCTGAGTAAAATTAGGCTATCTATATATCTATCTATATCTATATCTCTCTCTCTCTCTCTCTCGCTCTCTATATATATATATGTATGTATGTATACTGTTATGAGTACAGCGACTAGACACATAAATACATATTTAGTGGCGGATACGTTTTGTTAGCATTCTGTCTGGTGTTTAGTTAAGAGACAGGGTTTTAACCCAGGGCTTTGTACTGTGTACTGTCAAAAATGTTATACTTCATTAAATTTTAATGATCTTATAGGCATTATATAATGGATACATTTTTATGAGTTTAAATAAAGTGATTATAAAGTGTTGCTGACAAAATCTAGCTTTTTTTATTCTGGGGGTCTCTAAATCTGGCTTGGAAAAACCTGGTTGAAATAAGTTACCAATAAAAATAATTTTGTGAGCTGTATTCACATAACCAGACAATGTTTAACGTGAAAGTCTGTCATTAGTTATTTGCATAAATATACAAATTGTTGCTTTATCGATCATGAAGCTTTCCTAAACCTAAATCTATTAAAAATGAATACTGTATTGTGTAAAATGTAAGTGGATATTACTATACTTGTTATTGAGAGAGTCCTTTTAAATCAGTTTTCTCATGTGGGCGCTGCGGAAAACAAGAGGTGGATTATTTTTCCTAAATAACTCTCTGTGGCGTTGCCTGAGGACTGTGTTGCTTTACCATTCGCGGGCATCTTTTTAATCCAGTTCGTGATTTCCATCGGTCATTTCCACGGCTGTTAACAGGACTTCAGAAAGTCCGTCTGACTCTGATAGCGCTCAAAGTCTCAATGGCTTAAAGAACAGCTTGACCATCGACAACATCACAGTAAACATGTGAGTACGAGCTTCCAGCATTAGTAAATACATGCCTATGCTTGTGTTTTATTACGGAAAGTTTTATATGACTGTAGACTTTTGTCTAGTAGTTATATGAGAAGCTGAAGTTGTGTGACAGCTCATTAGTGATTTTCATATTTTAGAGGCGCGCGGCAGTTGAAGGGAGCTCATCATAAAGCCATGCGAGCGCTTGCCTTACTGCTCATCTGTGGTAAGTGTAGCATGAATCACAAAATCCTGTTATGTCTATGTGCTGTTATTAGAGCAAGACTCCATATTTATTCACCATGTAGTTATTATTCTTAATATCTTATGTTTTATCTTAATGTATTATTAGCAGCCACTTCGTGTAATTTATAACATATGTAAATATGTTTTGTACATTATGAAACATTTTTTGTTGTTGTTATGGGGCAATTGCCACTGCTTACTCTATGCACCTTTTGAGAGACAGAGCTGATTTTTTTTTTAGAAGTTTATCACACACACACACACACACACACACACACACACAGAGAGAGAGAGAGAGAGAGAGAGAGAGAGTAATTATAAGTTTTATATATTATATGTGACCCTGGAGCACAAAACCAGTCATAAGTCACACGGGTATATTTGTAGCAATGGCCAACAATACATTGTATGGGTCAAAATGATCGATTTTTGACAAAAATCATTAGGTTATGAGGTAAAAATCATGTTCCATTAAGATATTTTGTACATTTCCTACCATAAATATATCAAAACCTAATTTTTTATTAGTAATGTGCATTGCTAAGAACTTCGTTTGGACAAATTTAAAGGCGATTTTCTGAATATTTTGTTTTTTTTGCACCCTCAGATTCCAGATTTTCAAATAGTTGTATCTCAGCCAAATATTGTCCTATCCTAACAAACTATACATCAATAGAAAGCTTATTTATTTAGAAAAAATATATATTTATTCCAAAAATTTGCCCTTATGACTGGTTTTGTGGTCCAGGGTCACATATATAAGTTATATCATCTATCTATCCATCTATTAAATCTCTTCCATATTCGGTTTTACATTATCAATTTATTTTGATCTGCATGTGTTTCATATTTTTCAAGTGGGGCAGACTGATTAACATTATGTATTTGAATATCCATGTTTAGATGTACTTTTTAAGCAAAATGTGTTTGAGCCACAAGCCTTAACCTTATCTTATACCCTTCTTACATTATATATGTAGGAACTCATACATTTCTTGCATTTAAATGTGTTCAGCCAATTTTAATCATTCACCAAATGTTTTTGAGCCTGACCCCACACAAGACCCATGAATCATTTGCACCTGCTTATATAACTGAAGTCTGTTCTATCAATGTCTCAGTAGACAGTTCAGTTGACTTGTGATGCTCCACACTAAAACTGAGTCTGAAGGGAGGCTCTATCTCAAAGGTCTCCAGACAATGTTATTACCCCCCTCCGGCACCCAATTAGCTTATTTGCTTATTTCCTCTGTCTGTCTAGTTAAAGCTGAAACAAATTTATGGGCAATACTAAAAGGGAAACAAGAGGTCAGCAGGTTACAGAGAGGCCATGTGTATTGGATTAGTAAATGACAGTTCTTCACTCATTGAGTTTGTTTCATCCTTGATTACTTGTTCTTTGATAAATTAAGCACACCTTTTGGATATGAGACACTAAATCTGCTCAGTCGAGTATACTGACCTTCACATTCCTTTTTCTCTGCCCTTTCTTCCTTTAATCCATGGTTTTGCAACTGGGAGTTTGACATTAGGGATATTCAGTGGGTTCAGTGGGACCTTCAGGGGTTTGTGATTAGAAATAACAAATTAAATTAAATGAATACATTCTAGTACATTAATTCTAGTACAATAGAGCATTTACATGAGCTTATTAAAATAGTTCATTTGATAGTTAATTTTGATACATTACATTTAGTAGGCTAATAGTTTTATTAGTTATTTGAATAAAAGCATTCAATAATTTGCAAATAATTGTGAACCCTGTTTTAATCTTAAAGTTTTGACAGACTTCCTACACATTTTACTGTTATTTTTCATTCTTCTGGTGTTTATTTCTTTGAATCTGGTGTAATAGCAACTATCTAGATTTCTCCTTATTACTTCATATATATATATATATATTTGCTGTTTAGTTTAAATAAATGGGCTTTTTGGGCTTGGAAGGAATGTTTGAGTTACATTAAACTTTTTCATTTTAAAATATAAAGGAGCATTTTATTCATTGTGCCTTTTAAAGAGGCTACATGGTTATATTACAGTTTTATTTTGTACATATACTGCTAAGAGTCACGGTCTCGACTGAGAAATTGCCATTTATACCGCTGACCTTGCTCATTAAATGCTGTCTCCTCAGTGCATTTACAGTGTTCCATATCTTTCTTAATCATTTAGTGTTACTGTCCAGCTGTCCTCCGCTGTAAGTTTTGTGTAGGTGATGGGCTGCAGGGCTCAACAGGAGCCTCTGTGTCTGCGAGGATTGATAAAGCTGGAGAGAATGTGGAGGTATCAGAGGCAGAGCAGTGGGAGTGTTATTTTTGGTGAGGCTCTAATGAAAGTAGCAGGCTTGTAAGAGGCAGACAGCCGATGAGGAGATGCTCTTATTTAGTTCCTGTCACATTTTCCATCTGCTGCCTCTCTGAGTTTAATTTTAAAGGTCTTTGAACTGTTCACAGATTGTGTGACTCTGTCAACATTGTTAGCAGACAGTCATGGTTGCCTGTTAATGCAGACATAGTTTTTTCTATAAGCCAGCTATATAATTTTACCTTGATTGCCAACTTTAAAATGGTTTCGTAAGCAGATGTCACTATGTACATGTATATAATCAACAACTGTAAGTAGGATAGCACTAGTCCAATAGGGCAAGTGACAGTTCCATTAATCGACCCAAAATTCACTCACACTGGCCCCTGGCCAGCAGATGATCTTTACTGTAGAGCCCTGCTTTCCCATCCAGTATGTTAATTTTTAGTGGCAAAAATTGATTCCTTGTGAAATTAGAACTTATTTTTACCTTCAACACATCACATTAGATTTTCAAAAGCTATGGCCAACTAGCATTAAAGGCCATCTAAGACCCTAAAATTAAATCATAGTCCTTCTCCAAAAAATCATGAAATAATCCAGTCAAGCTGTTTCTTCAGAAAGAGAGAGAAAATAAACATGAAATAAAAAGAAAGCCTTGATGAAAAGAACTTGAAAAGCTGTAAGGAACCTTTGTTCATAATTTTCATCTAAAGGCAATGCTTTGGTGCGAGTGGAGGAGAGGAAACTGCAGAAATCCATTTTGACTCTCCTAC